ATGTACTGTAAAAGCTAAATGAGGGGTAATCAGTGTAACGAGACTGAACAGGAAGCAGTGCTACCTGTTTTGAGTTTTGTGTTTTTTTTAAATCCCTCATGAGCTTTTCTAATACATGAAAGCAAAGCCAGTTGAATGTTTTCCCAAGTGGGTGCTAGAAACAAGTTACCAGAGTATTCTGATGATTTTTTCATGCAGCAGTATTCTCTTTTCAGGTTTGTTTCATCTGTCTGTCAGCTATGTTCTCTGGCATCACTTTTTTCCCTGTTTTAAAGATAAGCAGCATTCAAAATTCATCTAAACATTTAATGACTATGAGTCTGAAGCAATGAAACTCTGTTCTTACTTTATGGTGTCTTTGCTCCAGGTACTCATGCTTGTGTTCTGGGTTTTCTTATACTCCTATTTGTTCCACCCAAGTGCTTTTTTTCAAGTGGACAGCAAGTTACCAGTGACCCTTGGAGCTGATGCTGGTTGGTACCCACCGCGAAGGGCTTGGAGTCCGCTGCCTGTGAGTGGTTCAGAGTCTGCTTTATTTCCTTTCTCTGAGGCTTTTCAAGTGTGGCTCTCGTGCTGCAGTGCTGCACGCGGGACGCATTCTTACTCTCACAGCAGCTGCACCGAATCCTGAGGCTGCCGTGATGACTTCCCCAGCCCGAGCCCCATGGCAGTGCGAGCAACAGCAGAGGCTGCCCGTAGCACGGTGCCTGCAGAGGAAATCCTGTGCTCTCAGGCTGCGGTCGGGTATGGCTCTGTACCAGCAGATTCCTTTTGTTCTGCTGACAAAAGAGTTTGCAGGAGCTTCCTCTGGGTTACCCGACCTTGAACATGCAATGCTGAGGGGTGTTGCTGTGAGCTGATGTTACAGGGAGCAGAGGTTGCTCCTTAGTCACTGCTGCTCTGTGAAGCTGAAACAGCAAGTGAGAGGAGCAAGAATGTGCGATAGTTGTGTGGAAGACCGTAACTGCTCACTGATTTAGGGGTTCTGGTTATTCCTGACTGTTCCTGATCACTGAGTAACTTTTCTGAAATATTTAAAGTGAGAGCTCTGTGAAAACTAAAGGATTCCTTAGTTTTTAACAAGTGGAGTTAACAAGTAGAGGATAAAAGCAAACAGGCCAGGATAGAAAGTCAGACTCCTCTGCAGGGCTTCTCTTCTCTTCAAAACTTTCTTCCATTATAGATACCTCTTCCGTTACAGACATCTCTTTTAAGGTATCTGGAAATCTGCTTATGTCACCTGTCTTGCTTTTTTTACTGTCTTCCTTGAGCATTTGCCGCAGCAGCTGCCGGGAGGCCGCCGGGCCGTGCGGCTTCCAGCAGGTGGCAGCGTTAACACGGGTACGGATCGCGGCGTCCGAGCCCACCTCCGAGGTGCGATGCGGGGAGTCTGGATACCGCGCTGGCGACCCCCAGAAGGCACCAGGCAAGGTATCTGGAAGTGTATCACCATTTTCCTGAGCTTCTGGGGGAAGGCACATAGGCAGAGACGAAGCATGTGAAGCAACGTGTGAGCTCCAAACCCTTCGAGCAGCCCTTACAACCGTGACAGCGCCAGGTGGGAGCACTGAGGCAGCCACTGGGCAGCTCTGCAGGCGCAGCGGTGACTAAAAATGAAAATTCGGCGCTGTTTCGGGACAGATGCTTTGTCCTTTCGGCTGCGTGAAAGGGAGCACGTAGCTGCTCTCACAGAAGCACAACCACTGTTACTCAGTTCCTAACATAAAGAGAGTTTACAAAGGTCATTCTGAAATATGTTTTAGTTAGAGGTGACAGTAGTGTATGAGCATAAATAGCTTTCTGCCTTCAGTCATGAAATAAATTTCGCAAACAGGTTTGGGGAAAACAGCTACTCTTAAAAATAAAAAAATAAATAAGAAAAAAAACACATGTACATCCTGTTTGTTGTGCATGTTAACGACTGGAGCCTTTTAGCTAGCGCTGCCTTTTGGGGCAGCAGCTGCAGCTGGGATGTTCTTGTGCAATGCACTGAGAGCATGTGAGACCCACTGGGTCTCGTTTCATTCTCCGTCAGCAGCTGCAGGTGTAGCTGTGCTTTAATGTGTTTAGCTTCTTCCTGTTGCAAACTCGACTTTATGGTGTTATTTTATGTCTTACTACAGCTTTTCAGAGACATCTTTTCCTAAAGAAAAAAAGGCTTAATACAAATGCTCTCTTCATCTATTGCATTATAACTTTTGAGTTATAACTGTTGATTCACTTGAAAATTTAAATAATTGAAATAATAGGTTGAAATAATACAAAGGCAAATAAAAGGTTGAAATAACACAAAGGCAAGTTCTCAAAGTCAGAGAGTTCTCCTCAGTCATGAAGAACCATTCTGTGTCCCAGATGGAACATGGAAGGTCAAGGAGAATAAATGTTTATCCCTTATGGCTGGCAGTTTGCTCTGCAAAACTGCACTTAATGTGCTTAGGGCTCTGGGGAGGCCTTGTTGCAGTCTTCCAGTACCTAAAGAGTGCCTACAGAGAAGCTGGGGAGGGACTCTGTCAGGAAGGAAAGGGGAAATGGCTTTAAGCTAAACAAGGGTAGGCTTAGATTAGATATAAGGAAGAAATTCTTCCCTCAGAGGGTGGTGAGGCCTTGGCACAGGCTGCCCAGAGAAGCTGTGGATGCCCCATCCCTGGAGGTGTTCAAGGCCAGGCTGGATGGGGCCCTGGGCAACCTGGTCTGGTGGGAGGTGTCCCTGCCCATGGCAGGGGGCTGGAACTGGGGGGCCTTGAAGGTCCCTTCCAACCCAACCCATGCTATGGTTCTGTGATCCTATGGTGTTACGTCATCCTGCAAGGACGCAATAATAGAAATGGAAGGTAAATGAAGCATTTTTATTTGTGTTGTGGAATTCCATTTGCCTCACCAAACACATCAACCACATAGCCTTCCGAAAGATGTTAAATTCAACAAAATTCATCTTCAATTACTTTTACTTGACTGTCTCATGGATTTGTATATTGGTGCTGGGTCTAGCTGGCATGTTAACTTTCCATGCAGTGCTGTGCTCTGCACTCGTAGCTAGAACAGCAGTGTTATCACTCCAGTGTTGTGCCTATTGCTGCACAGTGCTGGCACAGCATCAGGCCTCTCTCCAAACCCCCCAAGAGCCAGCAGCCTGGGGTGGGCAAGAGATGGGGAGAGGACATGGCCTCATTTAGCTGACCTAAACCAACCAGAGGGAAATTCCTTGCCATGTGGTGTCACAGTCAGCAATAAAAGCTGGGGAAGTAGTGGCGGGGGGAGCTCTTGTTATGAAGACAGTCATCCTCCCAAACCGCTACACTCACTGAGGCCCTGCTTCCTGGGATATGGCCAAACATCGCTCCTCGGTGGGAAATAGAGAGTAATTTCCTTTCTCCTCTCTGCGCTTCCATGCAGTTTTTTTTTTTTTCCTCTTCCTGTCCAAATGAACATTTAATTAAAGGAATTAAATTATACTTATCTCAACCTATGGTTTTTGTTGTTGTTTGTATGTTTGTTTGTTTGTTTTTTCTTTCCAGCATACTTTCTTCTTCCCCTCTTCTCAGGATGGGGAGAGAGCAGTTACGGTGGAGTTCAGCTGCCCAGCTGGGTACCACAGCGATCAACAGAGGTTTTTGTTTGCTTGCTCAGAAACATCTCACTGGTTTACATGCAAGGAAGAAATCAGTTCCTCACAAAGTAGTGGTTGCACAGCCAAGGGACTCCCCTAGTGTTCTCCAAGTTGTTATTCCTTAAGTACTGCTTCGCTCCATCACAAGGGATGTAGAATCTCTCTGGGAATACCAGACTCATGTGCACACTGTTTACATGCTTGCTGAACGTGCAGTTTACATGAAAACACCGTGTTTCTGAATAATCATGGATTTAGCAACAGTCTTCCCTCTAAGATTCACTGCAGGAGTGTGACTTCTGCAAAATTATTCTTTGTCCATTGACAGATGATCGTTTAACCTAAAGAACACCGATTACTATACTTCTTTCATGTACTATCAGGAAGTACAGGAATTAGTAATTTCATTTTATTGAACTTTGTTCTTCCTGCTTTGTGTAAGGAAGTCGGTGGAGTTTGAAGTGGGGATTAGAGAGTAACTGAGGAATTAGTCATACGTCTGTGTTGATTTAACTAGGCTGTTTAAACAGAAGGCTTGTTCAGAGTTAGTAAGACTGGAATGGAAACTCAGGACACTTTTTTAGTCAAACTAAGGAAATGGTGAGGGTTTGACTTGGCAGCTAGTCACATCTTCCACTACTTACAAGAATTTATGTTTTTCAACTATCCTGCTTTGGTTTGAAGAATTTGGTTTTGTTTTAGAATCTTCAGTGGTGACTGCATTGTGTTTTCTCACAGGTCTTTCTTGTAAGAACGTTTTTCTTTTTGCTGAATTTGGAAACTTGTGTGATAAAGGTGAAGAAATGTCCTACTTACATATACCGGTAGCTGGAAGAACCGTAAGTGCAACCACCCCAACTGCCCCTAACTGTGCAGTATTATTTAATTACTTGTTTCTAGGATATATTCCATATCCCAGTTCCTGTATTATTCGACTGTTTCACCAATGGAACAGTAGAAAGCCAACAGGCAAGGAAACAGCTGTCTGAAATCCCTGTAGCTTACTGTTTCCCCCCCACACACACACTTCTAAAGTATGCTTTCCTCCTGGACGTAAACCTTGACGATTCCTTAGGCAGGCGAGGCTACGGAGTCTGTAAAGCCACACGGTGCAGTCAGCCTCCTGTGGTGCCCGCTGCTGAGAGCAGCCCCGTAGTCCAAACTGTTCTGTTTAGGCCTGATGCTGTGAAACAGCTTGGTTGGACCCTTGAGAGCTAGTCAAAAGGCAAAAGTACTTCCTTCAGGCTTTTAGGGAGGCTTCTGTTTGTTCTGCAGTAATGAAGTTTGTTTAAGCAGTCAATATCCTGTGAAGATCTGTGTTCTTAATCTAAATAAATGGCTTTCTCTGTGTTGACGTGCAGGGCTCTTAAGCAACACGGAAGCATCATGCCAGTCCTTTAAGAATCTCCTTTTATTTTTTATCTAGCACATTACAGGTTTAGCACAGACATTGAGTAGATGTGTATAGGAACATTCGCATATATATGTTGTGAAGAGGACTTTGAGAAGAGCGCGGTGTGCGGGGCCAGCCCTGTGGAGTTACCTGCACGAAAGGACAACTTGCCGCAGAAACACTCTTTACCTTTAACTGAAGTCTTCACAAAACCTCCTCAATCTTTTAGAAATTAATTGTTTCCGTGAGGACACGGTGTGTTTAGCTCTCAGAATTAAGTCTCTCTAGAAGTCCATGGATGTCCTAGATGGTCACTTCCACTTGCAGCAAGGTAAATGAGACTGAGTTCTGCTCACAGCTTCCCCTCAGACAGTAGGTCTACCTCAAGCAGAAATCAGGATCACCGAGCATAGCTGCTGGATCAGGAAATACTGAGCTGTATGTAACAGAAGTTAATGTAAAGCCTAACTAACCGCTAAGTTCTAAGAGATGTAAGGACCATTTTAAAACTTAAGCTAAAAGCGTTTTATCTCCACTGGTAACAGTGGAACAACTGTTGTCTAGTTTGAGCATTGTGAATCTAGCACAGCTCTGGTTAGTTTTGGAAAGTCTAAGATTTATTGACAACTTTTAGGGGAGTAATTTACCTAGCAATTTGTACCTAAATCAAATTTTTAGGTATCTGTAAGACTATTTCTAGAGGTGAGACTAAATAGCACTGGCAACTTGACTGGTATGCACACAGCTGACAGTGTTTGAAACGCAGCATTAGTATTCAGTATGGCTTACAGAAAAGTTCAGCAGGTTAAAGACAGAGGAAAATAAGAAAATAAAGCATTAAATGTGTGGGTCATGTCAAACTTCCTACTTGCTCACAAGAAGTTTGCCTTACCCTGTATTTTTTTCTGCATATCCCCTCATAATAAAATGTTGCTATTGAATGACAGTGCGTGATACTTTATTTTTTCTCTTAAAATAACAAGCTCTATTCTGTCCTACGGAAAATAATGCATAGGACCTCATGCATGTTATTTGACTGCTCTAAGGTCTGTTTTGCAGCTTGAAGTTTAAAACGCATACTCTTAAGACACTGTTATATCTTTTCTAATAATAGGCATTTCTCAAATGTAAACTTGATCTGCCCAGTAACTGTGTGCTTCACTCTTTTACAGTTCTTGTGCCTGAGAATTTAGAGTGTATGTTTCTATACCAACTTGTTACAGAAAGCCCCAAATCTTCAAAAGTCTGTTTTACTCTAGAATTTAAGTTGAGGACCAGAAATCACTTCTTATCACATCAAAAGTTCAAGCTTACCTTCTATTTTCTGTGTGTTTTCTGAGTTTAAAACTGTCAGAACACTACTGTGGGCTTTGAAGACGTGTCAGCATAGAGATGAGAACAGAGATTTCAGTAATTCATGCTGAATTTGTTGAAAATACTGTAGTGTGAAAGCAAATGCAGCTTCAGATCTATAAAAATATTTTCCATCAACTATGAAAAAGCGCTCATTCTCTTTGTTTGGGTTGCATTCTTACCCATTGGTCAGAAGTATATCAAGTAGTCTAAATAATAGCATCCCTCCCTATTCAGGAATTTTCAGTGCTCATGCAAAGCTGTTCTTGGACAGTCAGAACAGATTGGAGATGTTTATGTGCAGAAAAAGCTTGTGGCACTGGCCGTCCACCCCATTAATGATGTAGTTACATGGACTGATACCTAATGCAGTAAATAATACATCATCAGGACTTGAGGAAGAAGTGTTTGTAATGTTATTGTTCCTAATAAAAAGGTGGTTTGTGCTTTTGAGTGTGAACTTAAGAAGGCACTCTATTTACAATTTTAGATGACAACTTTATTTAGAAAGAGAAGGCAAGAGAGTTGTACTGCAGTCATCTTGTGCAACTTAACGCATCACTTCTGTTAAATTACCTCACACTAATATAGGTCTCATCACTCGAATGAAGTTACTCGTTCTTATATTTAGTGTCTATCCATTTAAGAATATGCACATTGTACCAAACACAACAAAACATGCAGCAGTGAATAATCTCTATCATCAGGTGCCTCTAGAACAGGTGATTTCATCATTCACTACTTCACTAGTGAGGAATACATCAGCTCTGCCATCTCTCTCAATTATCCCCTGTATATTCAAGAAAATCTGTTCAGACTAATATTGTCCTTATACAATAATATTGTATTACCAGACACACCAAAGCCAGCATTAAGGGTAATTACATGCACGAAGAGACAACTAAAGTGCAACAGCTGCTGGGAGATATACCTTTTATTTATGTTACCGCAGAAGGTGATTACTGAAAGATTTTTTCTGCATGAAGATGAAGAAGATGTTTTCATTAAGCTTCAGATGCTGCCCACTGCATTGCTTTTAAATAAAAATGCTCAATCTCTATACAGACAACAGCAAAGTAGTAAGCGAACTTATAACACATTCCTTTAATATATCAAAATGTTTCCAAGGCAACATTATTAAAGTTATACCACAGTTCCCAGTAACATCAAGCTTCGTAAAGGAAGTGGTAGGGAAGCTTTATCCAGTTAAAGTTTAAGTACTCTTCTTCTCTTCACCCAATAAGTTCACTGTTGCTTTCTTGGCTGTAGAAAAATAAAAGTTAAAACTTAACAGTGGCATACAGATTTAAGTAGCTTATTCACTGTAAGTAGTAAGTGACAGAATAAGGACAGATGAAGAGCATTATTTAAGATACCTGCTCAACAATAACGATTAGGAAAGGGCCATGCAGCAAAATTCCCAAGAGTAGTTGAGAAAGGCAGATCATTTAAATACTCATAAGAACACTTCTTAAGTTGGTAAAAAGAAATCAGACTGCATATATTATTTGGGGAAGAACGGATTTAAGGTGGTTTGAGGTATCTTACACATAAATTTCATTTGAGAGGAAAGGTAAGTGAAGTTTTAATTCAGCTAATTAACAGATTTCCTTTTCTCATTCATGAAATTACCACTGGACATTTTGGAGTATACAGGCCCGGATTCGAATGGAAGGCAATAAAAGCACACATTAAGTAACTCCAGGCTGTGATAAAATTAGGATGTTATTCAATCAAATACAAATCTAAGAAATTTCTTTAAGAGTTGTCTCAGAATCCTTTGATTTCCAAAGGAATTAAAATTACAAGATCTTATAGACAGAAAACCTCCACTCCAAACACTGCTGCTTGCTTGAGTCGAAGGGTTTGCTTTACTAGACAAGTGTCAGTCCTATACTGCCAGGTACTGGGCATGATGGTATTTTAGGATATACAGAAATACACTGCAATGATAACTAGATTTATGGAAAATACCTTGTGAGGATGTTCAGACCTGTCTCCAGAGAGAATTTTGATAGGATATGTATTTTGAGAAGACACACAAACTTCCACATTTGGAAAAAAAATGCAAGCTGTTTCTTGTGTTCATACAGTTTGTGCTTATTCTAGCATAACTGTACTCCCAGAAAGTAAAATTCACTGTAGTCTTCTTTTCTTGACAGTTTCATCCAATTTAACTTCTCCATTAAAATTTACATAATAATCTTGTTTTCCCCCCCCCCAAACTGATTAATATTACCTTTAATACTAGGGCTGCAAAGGTAAATTCTTCCTACTCGGTGTGATCACTGAGTGGTCTTTTCCTCACCTTCTTTAGCGATGGTATCTGCAGTCTCTGCAGCCTTGTCTTTCAGATCTTTAACAACGTTGTCCAGCTGAGCTTCGTGCTTCAGGAAGAAAGGCCGGATGATTCGATGGTAGAGAAACTCCGCTCCATTAGACGGGCTGGGAGCCATGCACCACAACAGAAAGCCGCACTAGAGGAAACAAGGACATCTGTGTCAGTGGAAGAGACGAGCAGCAGACAAGGAGCAGTGCGCCCTCCTAACTTTGCCACAGGCTGATGTGTATTTAAAATGGTACATAGTGGCCTTCAGTTTTGTATGGTCACAGCCAAATAAGTACGTGTATCATTACAGTTTCGCACAGTAAATCTGGATATTGGAGTAACTTCTGGCACACTGATAGGATAAAGGCAGCAGGCTGTAGCAGTAAAGCTCATCTGGTAAAAGGCATACCAAAACTGCCCTATTTTTTCTTTTTTATAAGGTAGTAGTACAAAGGCTGAATAGACAAAACATTACCCTGGCTACTTCTGAACTATAATGGCACAGACATGACTGAGGGTCTAGCCCCTTGGTCCCTCTGATTCGGCCAAAACACAACCCTACCCACTCTGCTTCCTCACCTTGGCCATGCAGCAGGGGAAAAAAAGGGTCTGTGTGCATTCCAGTGGTAGGGTGGCTTGATGAGAAGCCACGAACAAGCTACACATTGCACACAGATGGGGTAATGCTTTGGGATTGCACAGCTTAGGTATAGCCTTTATACCACAGTCTGCTCTCTGGAAAACAGAAACCACCTCCACAGCGTGTGGGGTAATATTTCTGCATCTTAAAAGGGGGACTGTAAAGACAGCTATTACATATGTTACAAATACCTATCCTCACCACTGAAGCACCTTTATTTGGCCTTGGTTCCACTGTCATATGCATTAGAAAGATGGCTATGCAGAGCAAGATGAAAACATTTAGAGGACAGGAAGTGCCACTACTAAATTTGCTTGAGCACTGGAAGTGTATATACACGTAGAATGATATTTCAGCAATAAAACTGCAACAAAAAAAAAGCAAATTTTCTCGGCGATAGAACGATTCTTTCCAGACACAAGGACAACAATATTATTCAGTGTCAAAAGCCTCTCCAAAAAATAAAAACAGAACATCTTCTCACAGAAGACCACCTTTTCTTGAAAGACAAAACAAAACCACCCCAGCTTTGGCCAAAAATGCGCATTTAATTTAAAGTGATAATGCCACTTTTCAATAATGTTGGCAAATAGGACTTATTTAAATATTTTTTATCTCAGAAGTTTTCTGGTTTTCACAGCAGTATCTCCAGCAGTCAAAGAGGCAGTGCACCGAGGTTTCAATGCATGCACTATGGCTTCTGAAAGTCATTTGAAAAATACAAGTGATTTCTTATTTATTCATGAGGTATGAGTACGCTGCACAGCACCAAAGCATTTCCTATAAATCAGTTCAATTACAGCATCCTTTCAGAGTACCATTGTGCCTACCTAGGCATTTCTGTCTCCTCTCCTTCCACTTATGCTTTTGATTTCCCACTGGAAAAATGCAAAGACGAAACCACACCCAAATATTTGTTTTGGTATTACGTAAGAATCTTGTAAATAACAACTCGGCCACTACAAAGTCACTGAAGTCATGAGGTGTTACTTTAAAGGAAAGATTCTGATTTAACAAAAAAGAAAAAAAAATAGAATCCTCTTTGAATGATGAAAACTACATAGTGCTCTCCAGGCAAGCCTTCCAAATATTTCAGATTGTTTTGCCTCTGTCCTTCTTGGATAAGAGATGTTGGGATTGACTTCTGGTAGGTTCTGCTCTCCAGCTATTTTGGCTCTGTCTTCAGTGCAATATACACCCCAAAAAAATGCATCAGTTGAAATAAACATCTTTAACTTATTGTTTCTGGAGACACTGCAACTCCTTTTTCCTTTAAGGCACATTTTCCTTCTCCCGGCCCTGTGGAAAGCTATTGATGATATATTTGGTGTGGAAGAGGATTTCCTTCCAAAAAGGAACCCCGATTCCAGGGGATAACAACTGCAACGAAGGCAGTTCACCATACTTTTAGGCAAGCTCTAAGCTTTTATCTTTGAACTAAAAGATAAAGAAAGTGCTGCAATACTTATTTTCAAAAGCTTCTATTATTTGGAATGGAATAAAACAAAGAATAAATGGTAGCATCTTATATTGCACCTTTCAGTAAAAGCTGAGAGTTATTCTATTTCCTTTAAGGAATAACTGGCCAATTAACAACAGCTATTTTACTTGTCTCAGTAGACACTGATGTTACTTAGTTCTCCTTTGTTTTAGGAAATCCCACACCTCTAAGTCCAGCTTCCTTTGAAACAAAAGACACTGAAGTTTCCGTTTTCTTGCCTAGCAATAAAATTAGTCATATTGATTTTTATAGCTTTGCCCCAGTCTAGTGATGAAAAAGTATCTTACAGTTCTAGATTTATTCTCAAACACCAATGACTATTGAAAGGTATTGAAAACTGGTTTTATACCTTTCCAACAGGGCACATACCAGAGTTGCAAATCTCAGCCTTTTCAAAGCTCGAGAATGTCAGACTGCTAACTTAGTTTACTTTTCCCTTGTCTCTTATGAGGCTGAAGTAACAAAAAATATTAAATAACCGTAACATATTACATAACCATAAAATGGTTTGTAAAAAAGTATACAAAGCATAGAGTGGTTAAAGCGTTAATTGGAAAAAAAAAAAATAATGGCTATATTCTTTGTGACTCTCCAGTCCAGGCACGGGAGGGAATGAGATTCATAACTGTACAGAGTGCAAGGGTGAGAGGATGGGATCTCTGTCCTGAAGCACAGTCAGACTGCCACATGCAGCACATTACTACACTCACAGCGGAAACTCCTCCTGCTTCATTCCACTGAGTGCCTTGTAATACAGCCAATAACACAGCCTGAATGAAAACTCCTCCCATTTCATTTCACTGAGTGCTTCGTCAAAGCAGTTTTCATAATACAGCCAATGTGATGTGTCTGACTGAAAGAGGATTTTATTATTTCATCAGAGAATTGTTAGTAAAGCATGGAATCTCCTTCCTTCCCGTAATATTTTTAGGACAACCTCTACTACTTTCAGTGGCCATAGTATTTTAATATCAGAACAACAACAAAAATCTTTAAATAATTAGCAGACGTATCAAAAAATAAACAGGTCACATTCACACAAAATTATGAGTTGCAAATGTGTCCTGTGTTTTAGGTAAATAAGTTGATAAATAAAAAATAGGCATTATAAAAAAAAAGGCAAAGCAACCACAGAACCAAAAGGACTCAAAACTTTTCTGCTAGAGAACAAAAAGTATCTGGAAGTATTGTACCACATATCAAAAGAATTCTTGAACATGCCTTTCACCCACATATGAAAACTCCTAGTATGCTTGAAACATCAAGGTCACTGAGGTTAGGCCCTGGACTTGGGAAAGTATGGGAGCAACTATGATCACAGTCAACTGCCTGTTGAGGCACACAGGAATAACAAGCAGCTAAAACTGTTCAGAGTGAACACTACAAGCTCTATCAAAATAATATAAATATGCAAATTTGGCATATTTATAAAACAAAAGCAAGTTTGAAATCTGTATGTATGGCTTATTTGGGCTTCTGTTTCATAAGATCGTAAGAGACATAGAGACATCACAAACAGTACTACAAGAGGTTTTAGTTGCAGTAGACTGAAAATTAGAAGCTGCCAGATTCCTCCGTTTCCCCACATTGAATATTTCCATCCTCCCACCCAGTTAGCAGTGCTTTCTGATTCTTAGCCAACACCTTCCGTCTGCCTTTGTATCACGAAAGTATCTCTCTCCTACCCACTGCTGACAGTAAATACTTGACTTGTGTGTGCCTTTAGCAGTTATCACAGAAAGCTGTACATTTATTGTAATTGCTTCCTTCATTTCTGCTTGCTTCTGCTGAACTGAGATAAGCATCTTACAGTTTTTGCCACCACTACATGTAAATGTGGTATTTCTGATACAGGATTATCACAGCCATCTGTTTGTTTCTTATTTGCTAGGTCAGCCTGAATTGCAATTGAAGGCTCTTCAGAAGGAGTGCTATGCAGGCATGCAGAAATCATTGCCATGTTTTTACCAGAAAAGAAGCTCTGAGAATACTCCATATGAATTCAGAACTGGAGACAATAGGCAAAGTTATAATGATGCTCACCTGTAAGGTGAAGATGGAGATGTGAAACAACTGTGTGAGCACAGATTCTCCCAGTGCCATAAGCAATCTTTTTGGATCCTATTTTCATGTCAGCTGAACTTGCATTTTCATTGCTATTTAGCTTGATCGTAATATATTAAAACAGTAAATCTTTCATGTATGTGTAAACCATAGTAAACTTCAAAATTAGCATACTCTTTAAAACTTAGCAAGCAAAAACATTAGGCTTAAAATAGTAAAAGAACTTGTAATTTTTGACTAAGGGGTAAAAAAGGGGGAAGAGAGAATTAACTCTGTGAGACAAGCCTAGTTTTTTGTTTTGTTTTGTTTTGTGGTTTTGTTTTTTTTTTTTAAGTTTGAAGTAGCAGTTCAAATGTGTGAGTGTTTGAGGGAGCTGGGGAACTAAACATCTAAATGACCATATGATTGGTGTCAGCTGAAGATTCAAAAGGAAGAATGCAAAAGTAATGCATGTAACTGAACCATCTAAGTTGGTTTTGTCTTTAAAATGCAGCGTTTCCTGGAAAAACTATTTGGCAACATCAGACCTTACCATTAAAACTGTAAATGCCCCTACCACAATGGCTGACAATCAAATCCTTTCAAGGACTTTGCAAAGGCTAAGCCAGGCTAACAATGGTAGGAAAAAGAAGCAAGAGAACACAGAATTAATAATTCTGTAAGCTAAAGGAACAGCTGTCCAGCAAGCTTCTACCCAAAAGCATACATGTTAATTGACTCCCTCACAGAATAATTTGATATTTGGAAGTTGACTGACAGTACAGTCATACTTCGTATTTGACAAATGAAGCTTGGAACACATCAAGCAAATAATTGTTGGTAGTCAAACCCCACTACTAAATACACGTTAGCAACAAGCTCTTCTGGAACTTTCCTGAAAGGAAGTGGAAAGTATCTTCTATGAAAAATGAAGATTGTATGACTGAATCTATTTCTTACGTTGTAATTTCCTTCTTTGCTCCCAATGGCACAGAAGTTAATACTTCCTTTTGATGCCTTTGCAATTTAACTCTCCACTTCTAGTAAAGCACTTAAAGCAGAAATGAACCCACTCTGCAGATTTTACCAAGTGCTCTCATCTTGCCCAAATTTGCACCGCAGGCCAACTGTCTTTCCACTGAGTATCTCCATAGTCTCTTCTTTCCTAAAAAATAGCAGATCTTTCCCTGTTACCCACCACAAGTTTCCCATTTGCCTTTTGAAAACATCAGCTGTAACCAGATCACTTTCACAGAGCAAAATTAGTGTAACCAGCATCTAAAAATAAGGTGCGAGCCAGGCACGATTCCAGAGGAGTCTGTTGACATCTATTCATTCTTGAAGACGTTAAAGCAGTTACATCAAAGGTCTCATTTTAAGAGAGGGAGGTGTGTAGTAAAATACCTTTAGCATGTAGTAGAAAGGGAACCAGGACAGGAAGATATCGGAAAAGAATTCTGCTATGCTGAAAACACCATACACGACCCAGTAGGTCAGCCACTGTGTGTCATCATCTTTGTTGGGACTTTCAATGGCCTTGATCCTGTAAGGGAAAAAAAAAGAGAGGTAAGTAAATCAGTAGCACTAGTGTCACCTGTAATGGTGAAGTTTTTACATCTCAGGTTTATTGCAACGAGTGAATTCTCATAATTTAATTTCTCTGTATCATCTGCAGATCAGACTTAAATGTTATCCATCACATGGGCAGCATGCCCAAGATTTCTGGATAGGAAAGCTTTGTCCTAAACATGTGACTTCAGAAAGAAGCAGCACCTTCTAGCACCGTGAGTGCAAGAGAAACATGAACATCACCACCCAGCACCAGCAATGACACCAGCATCTGTAAGAGACCAGAACAAGGCAACCCTGCCCAGGATTTTGAAGTGAATATCAAATACCTTTATTCATCGTGTACGTGAGCTGGATTCCTTTTCTGAAAAGGCAGATGGGAAGGTTTGCTCTAACTGCTAGCGAGCACTTGGTCTACAGCAGCCGAGTAGAGGCCGTATAAAGCAACCTCCCCCAAACGCAGGCAGCGAGGACAATGTGTCTGCACCCCCAGCTGCTTCGCTCTTTAAATCCACTCCTACAGGACTGGCAAATCATGATGTAGGTTATGGCATTATGAACAGCAGAGAAACCTCAAGCGAAGTCTTGGGCTTTCTGCTTAATAATTAACTGCCTTTAAATCCCCAGCTGCCAGGGGCATGCAAGTTCAGACAGTTTTAAAAATAGGGGGTTGCAAGAAAGATGCACGCGTGTTTTCTCTAGTACAAGAAATGGAGACTGGGTCTTGCTCAGTTCTAGATTAGCACGATAAGAAGTTTTAGAAGGAAATGCTAGCCATCGTAAGCCTGATAATATGAAGATTAAGAATATTAAAAAGCATTTGTACTCTCCACTCGTGCCACTGGATTATATTTGTATATTTGGTTTTAAATATCTTACAATTTGTTCCTTTAATATCAACTACACTGTTGCTGATGCAAGATCTGTGGGGTAAGTCAAAGGTGTAAAATTTAGACAGTAAGGAAGGTAGAGATTTCGGGAGGTTTACCAAACAGAAGGCACAAGGAGATGGCTATCCGTGAGCAGATTTCCTGGTTTGTGAATTGACGAGCCCTTCGGACTATGTCACTTCCTAGCTCTGTAAGTCAAAATAAAAAGCCAACCATGCGACATGCCTTACGTTTCAGCAGCAGCACCGATAAACCCACCACACACTGGGAGATTTGGTGCAGCTCCTGGATTGAATTACTTTGAGATGCAATAAGAGGATTTGACACTTAATGTATGCATCATCTGCACTAGTTTCAGCACCACTGCTGAGGGGCCACTGAGAAAACGCACTGCAGGTCAGGGAGAGAGCTCCTGGTGTGGGCTGCTTTCATGGCGTGGAACTGCCTTCTGAAGGAGAGGAATAGCAAAATCAGCCAGCAGGGAAGTCAGTGCTGAACAAAGGGGTAAACGGGGGAGGGAAAGGAACATATGGCAGCTTCTCGTGGTTAAGGAAAACCTGCTGGGCATTAATTTTTCCAGTTACACTGGCAAGTTCTCCACTGCTGGCATATTGGGGGAGGCTTATCTTACCACAAAAAACATGCTAGCTTGGTATTTGCAAGAGAACACTTGGCAGTGAAACTGCTAACAGCCTTGCTGCTTTCCACTCATCGTCTGAAGCCGTCGACAGATTTAGGGGGAGGCTGTTCAACTTTTGTTAACATTATTAAAAATCATCCTAATGATCACGAAAATCAGTTTTCACTGAAAAACATAGAGCCTCCAATTCTGTGGCAAAGGGCATTTGACACATCGTTGTGCCAATACAACTCGCTTTAGTATCTGCTCTTCTCTAGAAATGGGTGCTGCTCCACTTGGACGTTCACCATCTGCTCCTGCAGTTGCTTAAGCTGATACCTTGCCTGGTCAAATCAGGGAACACAAACTGACTGTCCCCAGCTGAACCCAAAAAAGATCCCAAATAATAGGCAAACAGGAGTTTCAGACTCGCTAAGTTAAGGTGACATGCATTTTTCTCTACCTGCCAGGTAGTTGTTATTTCTAAAGTATTTCAGCTCTGTAGGGATGCTTATGAAACATTTGCATATGCTCGTATCTACGACACATTCACTCATCCAAAAAGCCCAAGCAATGGCAGCCTTTGCTCCAGAGTATTGGTGATGTCACTCGTGAGTCCTGCTAGTACCTCAAAGGAAGCTCTGCTCATCTGAGAAGTCTCAGTTTAACTGTAAAGCTGCGAATCCTCAAAACCTGAAGAAGGATCTTGAAGAAATAAATGGGAATTGTTAGACTGATGAGGAACTACTCCTGAGAGCATCACAGAGAGACATTTCAAAACACGACCACCCCTCTCAAGGACATGACACTAAATTAATATAAGGAAGAACTGTATCTTAAGGCCTTCTGATGATAATGAATGCTGATGACAAAGAATGACAAAGCACTGCAAGCTGTCATTCACTGGTGTGGTTTAACCAGCTGACATGCAACACTAAACCCACATGCGGTGCTTTCTTGCACGCTGAAGAAAACAGCAGAGCAACACTCCCCTCAGGTCTGATGCCTGGTCCAGGTATCACGGGACAACCTCAAGGGGCTGGCACCCACTGCACCAAAGATGGTAACAGCCAGCACCATCGGCTCAGAGGTAAGAACAAAAATTGCAGCTGTTAGGAGCCTAATGCCATTTAGTAGGAGGGAAGAAAGGGAAGAATGGGAACAGCAGAGCTGTCAGTGACTGACCAGTGTAACTGGAGTCGAGGAAAGGTGAGTATGTGATGAGCACTCTGCTTTGTAATGGGAAATACGTCCCTCAGCAGAGTGTGCCAGTGCTAGTCCATACAATAATAACGTGTCCCTGCCTAATAAAAGGACAACAGATAACCACATCCTCTGCTACTTACACACAATTTCAAAAGTAAGTCACAGAAAATATTCTTATTCAAGAATATGCAAGTACAGTAGGTTATCTACAGTATCTGAGCTGATTTTTGTCCATTTATAACTACGCTCTGTTCAGCAGGAGAATTTCACCTTAATTACACTGCACTTCAGTAATTTATTCTGTAATTTATTACCTATTATCCTGCTATAATGTTCCGCACAACTAACTTCAGGAGATATATTATAGGTGCTACTACATGGCAAGGACATTTCGTTTTTCTTCATGTTAAGTCACGACTCAGTGTGATACTGAAAATTCAGTCTCCATCAGTAAGTGGAAAGATACAGACCACACGATGCTGGCAGTACGGACAGCTTCAGGACAGCCTCCTTGCAATTTGTACACTGCAGGAACAAGTCAGTTTCAGCAGCATGTATCATTAAGGTCTCATAATGAAGGAGGAAGCACCCAAAGCCCATGCTTTCAAATTTACAAGTAAATAAACAGAAATTGAAGAAGGTAGTTTGCTATCTTTTTTTGTCTAATAACGATATGAGTAAATTTCACGTTAGTTATGTGGAGCAATCACACTTCACAAAGGATTTTATTTGGTGCTTATACTCTAATTGCAGAGGACTTTAATCATAGCCCCAAATAACTACTTACAGAAGTTACACGTGCAGGAGGAAGCAGCAGTCACGGAGAACAGCTTCCAGCAGCCTGGCTGGTAAACATCACAGCCCAGTTATTTTAAACACAGGTATCTCTGCAGCACTGTATATGACCTGCCCTGAGCCAGCACTGCAACCTGTCCAGGCACATGGGGAGAGCACTGACAGCATCATTTTTATCCACGCCTGCTCCCTGATAACCTGTCCAGCTGCTGATGCCAACAGGGAAGAGCCGAGGCTGCTCTCCAGCAGCCCAGGGTTCACAGCAGCTGGGCAGCTGCAGCCTCAGGACCACGGGTCCTGAATTTTGACTGTTTCTGTCATATGATCAGTCCAACTGGACCACGTCTAGCATTAATTGGATTAAGCCTAACATTAGTAATTTGCCAAGTCGAGTTATTTCACTTAAAGCATCTGTCTCATCTTCAAAAAATACGAGCTCTTTTCCAGGAAGAGGTTGTTACTCACCCCTGAATTAGCTCTGGCATAATAAATTATTGTTAATGATGAGTTAATTCACACATACAGTATTCACAGAATAAGCCTATTATAATCTTACAAGGATATATATATATATTTTTATAATCTTACAAGGATATATATATATATTATTTTTTTTTCTTTTTTGAGCTGAGTCCAGCTAGTAAATGTGTAAGCCAGAAATTAAGAGAAAGAAATGCTGAAATGCCAAAATTTATTACCTAGTGTCACTCACAACTCTGCAGTTTACAAGGTGTACCTGATGACTCTTGTACAAACAAAATTACAAGTTTAAGACAAAAGGCAGACTCCAGTCTAAGACATCTTTAGTGCACAGTAAACCACATATCCCTCAACATATGTATTTCACAACATTGCTTAAACTAAACCCAGCCCTGCTGTAGTTACGGAGGAGATAAGCCATTCTGTGCATCCTTCCCTCAGTTTTCTAATCAGAGCTATACTGAATGAGTAGGTTGGCAAATCTAGGACTCTATTGCTAAGGTTAACTTTTCCTTTTTTTTTTTTTTTTTAACTTCAGAAAAAAAAAGAAATTCCCTATATTTCTAAAGTTTATACTTGCCAGGCTGTCTCGGCTCCTTACAGCAGTTTGCTGAGATTCAAAACCAATTTACCTATAGCTTTCTAGAAACCCCTGTGGGATCAACACTCTGCTGTAGCACAGACTTCCTAAGCCCAGTGCCTCCCCGCCATCCTCATTTCAGACCCCCCTTGGCAGGCTGCCTCTGAAACTTCTGGCATCACTGCAGTGAAGCCTGTACCCGTGTGTTTGTATTTGCTTTACCATTTTGTCTTCTCCATTTTCATCCATCAGCTAAAAGCCTTCTGTCTTTCCATGCTTCTTCCTCCATACTATACTAGTAGCGTAATGCTTTTGCAGATACTGGAAACACATCCCTGCCAAATACCCTGCAGCAGTTGTGTAAGTGCAGGTCTACCACTGCCCCTCTCCTAATGTGTATTCAG